CACTAAGCCAGTATGCCTCAGCTTTGCCTCTCCTCAGAACTGCAGCTTGCCAAGCTCTCCTGGGACGGGCTGGGCCCCCGCGTCCTGGAGATGGAGAGGGTGTGGACAGCCATGGTGTGTGTCTGAACCACCCCCTCTCTCCGTTGGCCCCAGGCCAGCCTCCTCCCCAGACCAGTGTGATGTCAGACCTGGGCTGACCTGAAGGTGTGGGGTTGCCTGGTGCAGTTCCCTCTGGGATGAGGTCCTACGGGGAGCCAGCCTGGCTTTGGTCCAGAAGCTTGGGGCCTACGTACAGAGGGGTGAGTTGAGGCTGACTGGGCTTGGTGGGGCTGAAGCAAGATAATCCTCTGGGAGAGGAACTATAAGTCCCCCTCCTCTTCCCCAATATATTGTTTTCCCTCCAGGACTTAGAGAAGAGGGAGGGTAGGGGTGGGAGAGGGCTGGCTTGGAGGTGAGGTTGGCATATATTCCCAGGAATACGGTAGATTGTTTTGGAAAAATCTCTTGGCCGGAAATTACATGTCATGTCTGCTCCTCCGTGTGGATTTGTCACTTCACTGATGCTGCTGGAGAGGCTGGGGGAAGGGAGTGGACAGCAGAGGCAAGCTGGTTCCTGGCCACTCTCAGCTCCCTTTAGAGATAAGGGGGCAGGTTACAGACCGGAGGGGTATACATGTAGGGTGGATTCCCCAAATCCTAGAGGCAGTTTGGATCATGCGGATATCTTATAGCAGAATGGCATTAGGAAGCGGGGGAGTTATGGGTGGAGGAGGTAAGGAGAAAGCAGGAAGGAGGAATGATTTCGATCAGACCCTTCATTCATCCAGCGACAGACCTGGCATTTTCAGCCTTTTTTTCTCTAGCTTTGGGTCAGTACAGCCTCCTGACTTTGGGTTCTTACAGCCTCCCACAAAACTAGTTTCTGTTAGAGCTGTGGTAAGATGCCCAGGAACTTCTGCCTGGAATAGATCCCCTGCCTGGCAGGGTCATCCCCCACCCCAGTATGCTTCAAGGTAGAGAAGGAGCTTGTGAGGAGAGTGAGCCTTGTAGGAACTCATCCTAGTATCCTCCTGGGGTCTCCTTCCTCAGTCTTGAGGTTGAGTTTGTTGGGGGTGGGCGGAAGGGGGGGGGCAGGTATCTCAGCATCTCCCTCTTCCTCTGCCCCAACCCCGGAAGGGGAGGGTTCCCAGAGCTCAGCCCTAAATACCTGGTACTAAGGAGTCAGTGGATACTTCAGATGCCGGCAGAATGAGAGGGTGTGCGTGGGGCACCTTGGGGCCCTCAGGGCTGGCGGGAGAGGAGGAGCCTCTGCAGTGGAACTTCCTCTGCTAGCACTGACCTCACCCCAGTACTGGGTGGCAGAGCCCTGCGTGGGCACGTGTTGGAGCACCTTTTCCCGCGGGGAGTGTGGGCACTGGAGGCGCTCTTCTGAGGCCAGAGGTCAGCCCTAGCCCTGTGCCCTGCCCTGAGCTCCCAGGCACACAGCCTGTGCAGTCTTGCGGGGAGGCAGGGGGGGCAGGCAGGGAGATGTCAAGGCCAGGCTGGGAGGAGGCGTAGGGCTGGGGCGGGCTGTGGTCTCGCTCCCGGTGCTGGAGGCGTGGCTTCCATGGCTGGGCAGGTTCGCGGGCGCTGAGGGAGTGGAGTGCCGAGTGGAGCGGCAGGGAGCCCGGCAGGTGGGCGCATGTTTGGAGCCTGGTGGTGTGGAAGCCAGGCAGGTGAAGGGACCAGGCATCAGGCCCCAAGGAGGGGAGGGGTCTCAGGTCAAGTCAGGATGGGGCTCCTCTTACGTGAGCTTCTTGGATGGACCTCCTTATGGAATAGGGGACTCCTTTATGAATCCCCAGGACCTAATTGGTGGCGGTGGAGCTCTGGGGTCCTGGAGGTGGCCCAGGGGCTGAGGGGAGCTGTGGCCCTGCGGTCATTGGAGGTGGGCCCGCGCCGTGGCACCCGCTCTCTCCGGGGATCAGCCGGTGGTTGGTGGTGGTGCTGCGGAGAGGCGGCGGCGAAGCGGCGGCTCCTTGGAATGGAGGCTGGGGACCGGGTTGGGGGAGAGGCCGCCCGTGGGCCCTGCTCAGGAGACGGCAGGAGACCGCGACCATCGGGGCTGGGCTGGGGCTCTGGCCGGCCAGCCAGTGGCGGATGAGAGGCTGTGGGCGGGTGTGTGTGGGGGGGGCCATGGACCGGCCTCCCCCGCTGAGGTGCCCCTCCTTCTGGAGGATGCTGGAGGCCCGGCCCCTCAGGACGCAGGGCAGTGACGCTGCCGTTGCCGGTGCCGCCGGAGGGGCGGGGGCTGCGGGAGGGCTCTGCTCCCCTCCCTGGCTTGAACGCCGGGAGTTTGGGTGCCATGGGGGAGAGATCTGCATATCAGCGCCTGGCTGGGGGTGAGGAGGGACAGCAGGTAATGGGAGAAGCTTGGGGGATAGCCAGGTACCCGGGTCCTAGACCCCATCATCTGCCAATGAGATGAGGGCGCAGCCCTGCTCTGCAGCAGCCTCTCAGGAGTGAGGGGTGTCTGTGTTTCTGGGCCCCACGATGGATCCTGGGGGGCTGAGAGGCTGGGTGAAGAGGTATTTGTGTGTGTATGCGATGGGTGAGGGGCAAGTCGGTGGTGAATTACTGATGCTGCCACCTGCCTCAGTGTCTCTGGGTTCTCTGGGACCCAATTAAATGGCCTTTTGGGCTTTTCTTCAACTCATGGGAGACCCCAGGAGCAGTGCCTGCCAGGTTTTGGGTGTAGTCTTTTATGGGCACTGAGTCGTTGTTCCCTGGACATTCCTGCTTACTTTCCGAATATGCATATCAAGCTAAATGTCCTTGCTTGCTTTAGAAAAGATGATCACTGTATTCATGGGGCCGCTTCCCTTCTTGGAGATCAAGCACTTTCTCTCTTGGTCGGCAGAGGGCGGTAGCTGACAGGACAAAGGGGGACAGAAAAGGTGGAGGGTGTTTTCCAGGCCTAGGAGAAGGGGTCCAAGAACTGGCCTGAGCTCTGACCTCTGACCATGCTTTGCTTTTCCACACAGCCTTTTCCAACTGGATTGCTCAGCAAGCTGCTGAGGCTTGTTCTTACCCAACATCTAAGGGAAGAGTTAGGCGTGGGGTTCTGATAGATTTGGGGCACATCTTTTGGGGGCAACTAGAATTTTTAATTTGGCCATTCTGATCCAGCAGCCCCTATCTTACAGTAAAGGGAGTAATTTTGCTTAAATTGTTCCCTAAAGTCAGGTCCCTGGGGCTCCTTCAGAGTGGTGCCTGGTGGGAAGTAGGCAGTAGGCTTCTCTGAGCCATGGGCATTGTCTGCCAGGGTTTGAGGAAAAGTCATTTCCAGTGTGACCTCATCCTGACTTCATCTTGTTCATTAGCTCTGACCCCAGCCTCAGACTGGTGATTCACTGGACCAAGGGGACGCTGTACCTGGCTGGCTCCACAAGCTTTGGGTGGTGGGTGACACAGCGCTGGGTAAGAGGGACTGAGTGCTGGGAGTGTCCACCAATACCCACACCCCCTACCTACCTTCTTACCACCCCCCCCCCCCCGGCCATGGGGTCAGAGCAGGAAATGGCTGACCTTTCAGATAACCTTCCTGTGAGGAAGATCGAGTACTAAGAGAGGTCCTGGAAAGAGAGCCTAAGATGCTAACTCCCCAAAACTGTCACCCAGCTGCCTGCCCCATCAGCCAGCTGGGGTCCCAGGGCCAGTAGCCAGCTGGATAGGGACAAGAGAGCAGTGTACAAGAAGCGGGCTCCCTGGGCATGGCTGCTGGGGGGGGTGTTGCTGAGGGAGACTGCGAGGACTTCCTGCAGCTGTCAGGTGTGTCTGGGAGCTGTAGTGAGGGGGGTGTAAGGGCAGCTGGCACTCTTGAGGGGGGGCAGGGGGGATCATTTGTCAGCTGCAGGAACATGGGGGGCCTATGGGGGCTTGATGGAGTGTCTCCAGTTCCTTTTAGCTGAGGCTGTTGTCTGTGCGTGGGGGTGCTATACAAGAAACATCCTATAGTCTGGAATCCTTGCTCTGGGGTGGGGGCATCACAGCAGGGTCTAGGGGCATATTTGTTTATTTTGAGGGGGTTTTGGATCTTAGCCAGCTGGTCTGGGGGAGGAGGCACCCTGGATGTTGTGGGCAGTGCAAGGCAACCCCAGGGGAGGGGGTGGAGATTCCTCACCCCCACAGCCCCCCCTTGTTCTTGGCTGGACTGCCCCACTCTGGCAGGCTGCCGGCCTCCTATTTCCGTCGGGCACCAGGGTAACAGGGCCACATTAGGGCCTGAGCCAGGAGACGCCCAGCCAAGGCTTGGACTTGGCGATGGGGGAGGGTCTCTGAAGGGTCTGCCTACAGGCCCCAGGAATGACTGTCCAGGGTCCAAGCCCCCAACTCAGGCGGTGTTCTAGCCCCCACAGCCCCAGACAAGCCCATGTGGAAGCCTGTAGTAGCCCCTCTTTGTGCATTGCTGCTTGATTCGCATAGCCCCCACCCTAAAATCCCAGGAGTTGTCTGCAACTATGGGGGCTGGGGTGGAAGCCAGAGACAGGGGGCCTTGTGTATGGGGAGGCAGGGGGGCCAGCGCGGGTGGCTGGGAGGAAGAGTCCCCCCATTCCCGCCACCCTCTTGGCAGTGATTCAGAAAGGTCCTTTTTCAGCCAGTGTCAGAGCTGCTCAGCTGGGGAGGGAGGGAGGGAGGGAGGAGGGAGGGAGGGCGGTCAGGCGGGGGAGCCCGGGAGTAGGGCTGAGCTGTGACCACTGCACTGAAGAGAAGTCAGAGAAACAGGACAGAGGACATGGGCTGCAGCCGGGAAAAGAGCTAACCTGCTCCTGCCAAACTAGCCAGCTGTGGAAACAGCTGTGCAGCCGAGAAAGGGAGCCCACCCTGTTCTAATGCCCCATTTCCCACCCCTGGTGTGGGATTTGGGGGACTCCTGGGCCAGACCTGTGGTCAGCTTCCATCCTGGGCAGAACCTTGAATTCAGGAGCTAAAGCCCTTGCTCCCCCTACTTCTTGGGCCAGAGCCCCAGTGACCTGGTCAGGGGGTCCAGCTCCGTGGAGATGCCGGCGGCTCGTCGCTTCCCTGGCCTAGAGCTCTCCTTTCCTCTCCTGGCCAGACTACGGCGACGCCTGTACACAGTGAGTGGGGGCTGGGGGTGTGGGTAGGACTGACCAGGGACTGGGTCAGCACCGCCCCCCCCAGAGCCAGCAGTTCACTGAGGGGCAGAGTACAGGACTGGCAATGGCTGAGGGCTTGATAGGGGTTCTGGGCTCGGGGCCTCTCCCCTCGGCTGCTGCATTCTGGTTGGTGAGTGTGTTAGGAGAATGTACGCAGGAAGTGTGCGCGCCAGGAGAGCACCACGCCAGGCATCAGACACAGGTGTGGGACTGCGGGTGTGTCGGGGGCCAGGCACACCCACAACCAGAGAGTGTGAGCCGGGTGGGGGAGAAGCCGGGGCAGTGCCCTCCCTGTGCTCCACAGACAAAGAAACTTGCTGTGGAAGGGGCAGTTAGTGGAGGGGAGGGGGCTTGTCCTGGCTCACCCAGGCCCAGGCAGTAGAGACAAGACTGAGACCCTGATTGCTTGCTTCTCACTGGGATCCCGGTGTTCTTCCAGTTGCCCGCACACCCCTCCGCAGAGCAAGCCTGTTCCTGGGGCTGGAGAGCGGGGAGGGGAGTGTCCAGCTGAGCAGGGAGATCTGTTCGCTGTTGTCTCGGGGAAAAGAAACAGGCCAGACTGTGCTTTCTGAGCAGCTTCAGGGGAAGGGCTCTGTGTCTCCCGCAGTCCTGACCACCCAGGGCATGGCTTTGAGCTGCTCTGAGGAGCTGCTGCCTCCAGAGCAGGGTGGGAGTGGGGAGCCTGGAGCTCTGAGACTTGGAGACTGGGCAAGAAGAGGAGGGGGTCTGTGGACTGCTTTGCCCCGCCGGCAGGCACATCTTAGGGCACGCAGGGGGTGCGGTCTCTTTGCCCCAGGGACAGGGCCGTGATGATGGAAGTCCTGGCCGGCCCTGCACGGCCAGGCTGCCGAGAGCTCCGGCCTGGGTCGGTGATTTTCACAGTGCGCCCTTGGGGCCGCCTTCTGGAAAACAGCAGTGTTCTGCCCTCTCATGTCCACACTCCCTTGTGCGGAACAGATAGTTTTGTTGAGGATAAATGACTTAATACAGCTAGATACTTAGAACCATGCCTAGCGTATAGTAAGTATCAAGTGTTAGAGTTATTTTTATTGTTATTCTTCTTAAATAAAATTAATAGAAATGTGTCCTTTTTACCGGTAAGTGTGTGTGTATAGTCAGTCAACATGATGTCACCTATAGTATGAAGGAGAAATGAAAGTGAGGATAACATTTCAGGTAGTCTGATATGTCGGGATGTTCTGACATGAAGTAGTCAGTGCGGAGCCCTCCAGTAGAACCACCATGGAGGCAGCGCCTGCAAATGCTGACTGACAGGGGGGTTTGGAAATCATAAAGGTGGGTTGCCTTCCGTGACGTTTTTCGGATTAGCAAACAACTTTTGGTAAGTTCTGAACAAAACAAAGGCCAGTTTTCCCTCAGTGTATGTGTTAGTTCCATTCCAGGAGGATTCAGTATGTATCTAGACTGCAAAATACTTTTTTGTTCATATGTAAGATGGAATTCAGTTCTAGGGTTAGGTGATTGTAAACCAGATTTTCACCTGCATGAACTAAGTTGTGTGGGATTTGGGACAGTGGGTGAGATTGCTCTGTATGTTACAGGATAACTTGTGTTCTTGTCTCCCAACCACTCACTAAATGCTACTCGCAGCCCCCCAACATGATGACAACCAAGAATGTCCCCTAGGGGGCCGTACAGCCCTCATGAGAACTGTCTGGGTAAAGGGTCACAGCTTGAAATTTGGAAACCTCCCCCTGTAGCCCAGCTGCCTTGGTGGAGGAGCCAGGGTTTGAACTGAGGGCCTCTCACTCCCGTGTGTCGCTCTTTGTACTGTCCTGAGCTGCCAGAGAGGGTCTGAAGTCCTGCCACTGGCCGCCGGGAGCTGTGGGGTCAGGAGGTGCATGCTCGGCTTGAGCTGCAAGAGTCTGCTTCTCTGAGTGTGCCCTGTGATCAGAGCTGGGCGCCGAGGCCACCTCTGACTTGTTGGGGGGGGGTGTTGAGGGGTCGCTGGCCTCTTCCCTCTTGTGGGTCTTCTTTGGTGGGGGACTGAATGCAGGTCAGCCCTCAGCTCTGAGGTGTCTGACTTGGACAAGGATGGGTTCAGGTCCAGCGGGCCAGGCTGCTTCGTTTCAGGGGTGCCCCACTGTCCTCTTTCTCTGGGCCACAGAGAGTGTAGGTCAGAGGTCGCTCACTGGTGGCCCATTGGCTGATGATAGCGTGCACTTGTGTTTTGCTTGGCCAGCACAGAACGTGTGTGTGTGTGTGTGTGTGTGTGTGTGTGTATTTCAAACTTGAATTGGTTGACATAAAGAAGTCAGGAGAAAGATGTAATGTTAAGTGAAAACAAGGAACAAAATGGTGTGCTTGATGGGTGAATGTTTGTGTGGGGGAAAAACAGTCTGGAAGGATATGTAGAAGTCCTTTATGGCAGCTGGCTCTGTGGATGGGGGGCTAGGGGGCTCTGCAATAGGGCAGGGAATGAGACTTCAGGGCTCCTGTGTGCCTTTTGAATATTTTACCATGTGCATATATTATCTTTTCGAAAAGAATTTTACTGGTGAGATTTCACATCTAGATTCAGATTTCTAGTATTTCTTGAAAAAATTGAAAGCTTTAACAACACTGGGCAGCGGTCTGCGGTGACAGCTGTCGATGGAGCTAAGCAAGGCTGCCTCTTAGAGCCAGCATCTAAAAGCCCACCCCAGGGGCGCCTGACTGGCTCAGTCGTTAAGTGTCTGTTTTGGGCTCCGGTCATGATCTCAGGGTCCTGGGATCGAGCCCCACATTGGGCTCCTTGCTCGGCGGGAAGCCTGCTTCTCCCTCTCCCTCTGCCTGCCGCTCCGCCTGCTTGTGCATGCTCTCTCAGTCAAATAAATAAATAAAATCTTTAAAAAAAAAAAATAAAAGCCCACCCCAGCCTCTGCGCCCCTTTTGTCTTCCACTGGTGTGGTCCTGATGGCATTCGAGCGGTCTCCTGTGGGATGGTCTTTGGATCTGCGGGGAGAGGCTCTGGTGATGTCAGGCATTGGGTGGAACTTAGAGCTCATCTGGTCCACAGTGCTTTCTCTGTGGTCCATCAGGTCTGGGGAACCAATGGATGGGTCTCAAGGGACCCTGCACCACCACCCCCCAATAAAAAATATATATCTATTTTAAGTAGGTGCCACACCCAGAATGGAGCCCAGTGTGGGGCTCGAACGCGCAACCCTAAGATCAAGACCTGAGCTGAGATCAAGAATTGGACACTTAACCAACTGAGCCACCCCGGCGCTCCTAAAAATGTTTTATTTTTAAGTAATATTTACACCCAGTGTGGAGCTCCAACTCACAACCCTGATCAATAGTCACATGTTCTACGGACTGAGCCAGCCTGCTACTCCTCCCCAGTTTTTTAATGAAAACTTTATGAGTAAGAATGTGTCTGTTTTCCTGGAGACACAATCAGTGGTTTTCGTGGTTCTCAAAGGGTTTGTGACTCTGAGAACAGAGAGGTTGATCTCCGGTCACTACAAAGTTTGGGCTTAAGACCCCGACGCCAGAGCTCGGGCTGTATTGCAACTGCCCCAGTTCTATCCTTGTTGCGGGTGGGAAGAGGGGTCCAGGGCATTCCGTACAGTTTTGGGGAGCAAGAAGGTGATTCGAGCCCTTCGTTGAAGCAGCAGAGTAGGACGTGGGTGAGCCCGGGGCACTCGGGGCGGTCTTGCCTGCTACCTCCCTGTACCCCTTGGTCCCTTGAGCCATTCTTCCCTCCCCACAGAGGCTGGGGGGCAGCAGCATGCAGCCGGAGGAGGGCACGGGCTGGCTGCTGGAGCTACTGTCCGAGGTGCAGCTGCAACAGTACTTCCTGCGGCTCCGTGATGACCTCAACGTGACCCGCCTGTCCCACTTTGAGTATGTCAAGAATGAGGACCTGGAGAAGATTGGCATGGGCCGGCCCGGTAGGTGGGGCCATTGGCCTTACTGGTTGCTTCCCCGCTGACCATTTACCTCCTCTGTCGTCAGGACTGCCAACTCCATGGAAGAGCCCTCCCCCTTATTCCATGGGGTGGCGTAGTTGGGAACACTCGCGGCCTGCCCAGGAGCCCCCAAGGTGGGGTAGGGGGCATCAGTAGATGCCACACACCATGAGCGCAGGAGGACAGTTGGCAGTTGGAACGGTGACCTGGAGTTGGAGGAGAATGAAGTCTTCTAGCTCTGGATACTCAGGATTAAACACACACCCCTTTTGGCTTGTTCAGCCATTTGGAGGATGCATTTCCTCCATCTCCTCCTCCGCTGTAATTGTGGCATTGAGTCGGCCCGGTTCACCATTCTGAACGCCAGGGTCAGTGTCCAGAGAGCCCCGTATGAACATGAGAAGATAAAAACCCTCAGAGGGTTTGCTAATTTTCTCTTAATCTGTCTCTGTCTCACAAAGATCTGCTGTAAATTGAGCTCCTTTTGTCTCTTTCCTGTGTACCAAGATCTGCTGTATCAGCTGAACTCAGTTTTTTTCTATGTATTTATCCTAAAAGTACTGATTGTAACATCTAGAAGCCATGGTATTCCTTGTAGAGCGTTAGAAACTTACTAGTACGTTCAACTTAAAATAACTAAATAATAACATGCTAAATTAGACATTGACATATGCTAGTTTTGGCTTGGATAGTTGGTATCTGATGCCAGGAACATAAATTTTATGGGAGAAAAAAACTCAAAATTGGGCAAATTCTACCCATTACCTTGATTTTTTTTTTTTTTCCTTGAGAGTTGGAAAAAGACCACTGCTGTTCAATTTTGGTGGTTAAACACCTCCATCTAGTTCAAGAACCACTGCCTAGACATGGAGTGCCGTCTGGTTAACTGTGGCCTCTGGTGGGTTGGAATGGTCTGTTTCCTTGGTGTCATTGTGCTGGGCAGTACCTCGTGGTGGACCCACCCCAGGGTGACCAAGGAAGCATGCCAGGCGGGCAGCTTCTCTGGGGGATGTAAGCTACCTTAACATTCAAACCCCGTCCTTCCCCACAGGCCAGCGGCGGTTGTGGGAGGCGGTGAAGAGGAGAAAGGCCATGTGCAAACGCAAGTCTTGGATGAGCAAGGTGCATGGACGAGGTGCAAGATGGGGTGGGCAGCCTCGTAGGCCTTCCTGTGATGTCAGTCCTGGGAAACTCCCCCATTCCCAGGCAGGTGTAATCTGTACCTGGTCCAGACCTCCCTCCTCCAGGGTCTTCCTGGGCAGGGTGCTTGTAGAACTGGCCGGCTAAGTGTCTCATCCCCACCAGAGACGGCACGTGAGTAGCCTGTGCGCCGCGGTGGCTTCCCATTCCCTCCTGCTGTGCATTCGTTGCTGGGCATGGAACAGGCGCTCCTTGACAAGTGCACCGTAACCTGAGCCCTTGCTCTGACTGTTGGGGCCAGTGTCCAGGGCAGAATGGTGGGGACTGTCTGGACCTGGGACATCTTTGCCTTGCTCCCCTCCTCCCCCACCCTCCCTAGTCTGCAGGGGGTTTCTCTGGTCATCTGGCCCTGCTCACAGCTTCCTTCCCCACAGCCTGCCCCCCTTCTCCCTTTGCCCTAATTTGGGTCTGTGAGTGGTGAGTCCCTGTTCTGACTCAGTGGAACTTTGCCCATTGTCTGGAAGACAATGCGAGAGGAAGTGAACCAGTCAGGGCCTTCCCTCCCTGCTTCTGGCCTCAGGGCTGGGTGGGGGGTGAGGGGGGTGGGCAGGGCAGAACAGCTGGACCAGGATTGGGCAGCAGATATTGCCTGGCTGTGGTCTGGCCAAGGGGCTGTCTCTTGGGAGCCTGTGGCCTTTTCTGGGGACACTGTCCTGGTCCCTTGCCCAGGTTTTAGGGAAGGATGGGTTTGTTGGGCAGATGAAGGCAGGAGGGAAGAGCTGTGCAGCGTGCCGGGATTCGGGGGTCGTGGACCCACCACATAGGAGGTCTTCAGGTCGGTCGGTGAACCTCACCAGACCTGAGGTCTGTCTTCAGCAAGAGTGCTGGTGGCACTTGTCCAGCTCACCTCACCGGGTGGTGGAGAAGGTCCCTTGAGATAAAGGCTGTGAAGGGCCTTGTTAGCTGAGTACTGCTTGCAAACATAAGGGAGTTTAGTTACTGGGAGGAAGGACAGAGCAGTGGCTAGAAGAGGTCCTCAGAGTGGAGACACCCCTTACCCCGTACAGATAAGACCCTCCCAACCTTTGGGGGACAGGGGCTCAAATGGACAGAGTATGCGGCCTGAGGCCAAGGCTTTGGATGCCCCAGTGGTGGTGGCCAAGTCAGATCGACGGGGCCGACTCTGCTACTCAGGGCCTCCTTCATCCTGTCCCCTGATCTTTGGCCCCTTCCCTCCACAGCCCAGGCTGCAGAGTCCCCTCCAGCCTTCCTTTCTCAGCTCTCAGCTCTAGGCGCCCCTCCAGAAGCCCAGCTGTCTTCCCAGGCCCTTCCCCAGCAAGGCCTTGCTTCATCTGCACTAACCACTGCCCGCCCCCCCCCGCCCCGCCACACACACACACACATTCACGGTCCAACCTCAGGCTCAAATTATCCTCTCCCCCTGGCAGGATGAAGGGCAGTCAGCTCCCCAGGGAGGGTGGAGACAAACAGCGCCAAATGGGCAACCCAGAGAAGGGGCCAGGGCTAAAAATGGAAAGGGAGGTGTTTGTGGAGGGCCCCTTGGGCTTCTGCCCATCTGCTTGGGTTAGGGGCCGGAGTCTGTGTTGGGTAGGGGGACAGGGAGGGACAGGTGGTGCAGAAGATGGGTCTGGAGTGGCTTTGGGCTCTCCCTGACCCCACAGCTGGGTATGGGGCCACGGCAGTCACAAGCCACATGCCTGTCAGTCCATTTCTGGCACATACCTGAGGCCACACTGAGACTGTGGGTTCCCATTTGAGGGTGTGGTCTGGAGGAGGGGAGGGCCTCCAGCCAGGCTGCCCCCTGGCACTTTGGCAAAGCCAGGACCTCTCTGGAGGCCTAGCCGAGGATCCTATGGGGCAGAACTGAGTGACCGGCTCCGGGGCCTGAGGCTTCCATCTGGCCCCTGGCTGCTTTCAAACAGGTGTTCAGTGGAAAGCGATTGGAGGCTGAGTTCCCCCCTCATCACTCTCAGAGCACCTTCCGGAAGACCTCACCCACCCCAGGGGGCCCAGCCGGGGAGGGGCCCCTGCAGAGCCTCACCTGCCTCATTGGGGAGAAGGACCTGCATCTATTCGAGAAGCTAGGAGATGGCTCCTTTGGCGTGGTGCGCAGGGGCGAGTGGGATGCCCCCTCGGGGAAGACGGTGAGCTTCTGGGTCCTGTGGGGTGTGGTGGAGGGACAGGCCTCGAAGAGACTCTGGCAGAGTCCCCCTCACTCTGCCTTTGAGGCAGATCTTTCCCCTCTACTGGGATGTGAATGGGGCTGGGCACAGGTCGAAAAGGGGCTTGCTCTGGATTCCACGCTCAGCTTTAACTTGACATGTCTGTTTCTTTTTTTTTCAATTATAAAAAATTTACTTATCATAAAACTGGAAATTTTTTAAAAATAAGAAAAAAACAATTGTTTGTAATCCCCCCACTCAGAGGAAGCACAGAGTTAGCATTTCAGCTTAGCGAATTTTTACGTATGCGTGGACCTATGTAGCCACTGCCCCGATCATGATAGAGAACAGTCCCAGCACCCCAGAAGGCTCCCTCTTGTCCCTTCCACTGAGTATCTCTTCCTCCAAGGGAAGCACTCTTCTGATTTCTCTCACCATAGGTTCATTTTTTGCCTATATATATGTATGTAATATATATATATATATATATATATTTTTTTTTAAGACTTTATTCATTTGAGAGAGAGCACAAGTGGGGGTGGGAGGGGAGAGGCAGAGGGAGAGGGAAAAGCAGATGTGGGGCTCGATCCCAGGACCTGGAGATCATGACCTGAGCTGAGGGCAGATGCTTAACCATCTGAGCCAGCTATCCAGGTGCCCCTTTTGGCATTATATGTACAACATTTTCCTTGCACACCAAAAACATTTTTAGTATTGCATTTTATGACAACATTTTAATATTCTGCCGTCACACTGATCATCTCTTATTGTAGGTTTGCTATTTAACCTGGGCGTTGTCCCAGGAAGGGGAGGCGCAGGCGAGGTCAGTCAGCTGCCCTGCTCCAGCTGGGCCACAGGCCCCTGTGATGTGCTCACCCACCCAGATGAGCAGACCCAAGGCAGGGCTGTTTGGACTGAGTTGGAGGGAGGAGCAGGTGGGCTCCGAGTGTTGGGGCCTGGAGCCTGTCCTGACTCCTTTCCATCCCCACTCTGGCCAGGTGAGTGTGGCTGTGAAGTGCCTGAAGCCTGACGTGCTGAGCCAGCCCGAGGCCATGGACGACTTCATCCGGGAGGTTAACGCCATGCACTCGCTTGACCATCGCAACCTCATTCGCCTCTATGGTGTGGTGCTCACACCGCCCATGAAGATGGTGAGTGCTGCGGGTGGCGGACGGGTGCTCAGGCAGGGTTTCTGGGCCCCCAGATCTGCCCATCCCCCTGCCTGCGCTGTGCTTCGACCCTCCATTCTGATGAAGGACGCTTTGGTCCCTCACTGATGTGGCAGAGTGGCTCCTAGGGGCCTAGCCTGGTACTGTGTCCGCTGGAGCTCAGGTCCATCTTTGGATTTTGTTTGTGCTCATTGGCAGAGAGTTGTACTCATAGGAGGAGCTGGCCTTAGAGTTTCATTTTTTAGAATTTCTACTCTGAGCCTCTGTGGGTTGCTTCTTTCTAGGCCTCAGTTCCCATATTACCTGGAGGGAGAGGCTTGGGGGAGCTGGAGAAGTCCTAGAGGTCCCAGAGTACAGGCCAGGAAGGAGCATGGAGCATGGCTCAGGCCTTCAGGAGAGGGACTGGGAGCCCAGCATGGGGCACTGAGGGAGGGGCAGGGCTCAGCCACATTTACTCCTCCTGCCTCCCCCGTGGCCTCAGGTGACAGAGCTGGCGCCACTCGGATCGCTGTTGGATCGGCTGCGAAAGCACCAGGGCCACTTCCTCCTGGGTACTCTGAGCCGCTATGCTGTGCAGGTGGCTGAGGGCATGGGCTACCTGGAGTCCAAGCGCTTTATTCACCGTGATCTGGCTGCCCGAAATCTGCTGTTGGCCACCCGTGACCTGGTCAAGATTGGAGACTTCGGGTTGATGCGTGCGCTACCCCAGAATGACGACCACTATGTCATGCAAGAGCATCGCAAGGTGCCCTTTGCCTGGTGAGGGACAGGTGCTGCTGGCTCATAGGGCCTGGACCCCATCCTGCCCCATCCCAGTCCCTGCACGCCCCAGGCCTCAGAGTCTCCAGGGCTTCTACAACCACATAGCCTTTGTCTTTTCTGGGCCTGGGGTGTCCTTGTGTGCAGTTCATCCACTCATCCATCTAGCAATTCTCTGGGCCTGTGTGCCGGATACTGCAATGCACAGGGATGTGTGCTGTGGGGGCTTGGAAGGGCTTCCTAGGGGACTCCATTGGAAGCTCCTGAAATATCAGCAGTTAGCCAGGCAGACTGGTTGGCAAGTACGTTCCATGTAGACCTAGCCACCGGCAGGGCCAGACCATGCTGGGCCTGGCAGGCTGACCAGGGACATTCACCTGAATGCTAAGGGGGTACCTGGCCCCACCCTGGCCCCTGTGTGAGTTTCTCCTGTGCTGAGACCATTGTGGTCCATTGGTTCTGGACGTACCGGAAGGAGTGTGGTCCCTTGCTTTGGGGTGTGAGGAATAGGTCTAGTTCTCCTTGCCAGAAAATCCTAACCCAGGATGCACCCCCCCCCAATTAATAACTGATTTTATATGTCGGGTGACCACATATTCTGGATTATGCCTGTTGTTCTGGAGTAATTCATAGCACCCCCTTCATACCCAAGCATCCTGGTTTGGGTGGTAAATGATAAAGTCCCCTTACAACAGCACTGTGTGATGAGCAGATTATTGTTACTCGCATTTCACAGATGAGGAACATGAGGCTTGGGGATCTTGAGTGACTGTCCCTGGGTCCCACCCCCTTTGAGTGGCAGGGCCAGCTCTCCAGTCCCAGGAGAGAGTCTCTGGTTCTCTGTTAGGTCGGCTTCTCCGTCACTCTGCACCTTAGCCCACCCGGGAATACCCCTCTGCTGGCTTCACTGCAGTGACATTTCTCTGTCTCACCCAAAAGGGAGTCCCAGAGGGAGTGTGGGATATTTGGGTGAAGCCAGTATAACTGTTTCCAGCCATTCCGGTTCTTCCCCAGACCCTATCCAAATTTCCCACCCACGCCTTCCTGCTGAAATGACCCAAATCCCAGGATCCTGCCCCAAATCCGGAAATTGTCATCCTCCCACCACGATTAGAAAACAGCCCGAGATTTTCTCCCCTGTCCTCTCCCTCACCAACTCCTGGAGCCTCTGACCTCTCCCCCCACTGCTTCCCTGACCTACCAGACTTCACCCTCGTCCCACCCAGCCTCCAAGGGAATAAAGACATGAGCGTAGATGAATTTCTCCAAGTCTGTGCATCCCACCGTCAGTAAGTCCTGTCCCTGTTCACGTCACACGTGTCACCAATACCTACTGTTGAGCCTGGCCCACAGGCTTACAACATGTTGTTGAATGAGTGTTTTCTGTCCGTTGGGCTGATGTGGGTGGGCATGCTCTGAGAGGCCTTCTGTTTGACCCCTGCCTCTGCCAGGTGTGCTCCTGAGAGCCTGAAGACACGCACCTTCTCCCATGCCAGTGACACCTGGATGTTTGGGGTCACACTGTGGGAGATGTTCACCTATGGCCAGGAGCCCTGGATTGGCCTCAATGGCAGTCAGGTGAGGGGCTGGAGATGCGCTCCCTCCAGGACGGGTGGGGGTTGATTGGATTCTTGGCTCCCAACCTGCCCCTGTCAGAACTGGCTCTTGCTTGCTAGGATCCCTGTCCCCCTTGCCCTGTGTCCGCACTTGACCTCTCAGATAGCTGACCAGAGAGGGGGCCCCAGTGGTGAGGAGAGGGACAGACTGGGGCTTGCTCTCATTTCCCTTGCCATGGCCACCCACCTGGAGGCCCCAACCAGGGGGTGAGGGTCAGAGGCCCGGGGATAGGCTCCTGGAGACAGACCTTCTCTGTGGGGTGCAGGCATGGTGGCCCACAACTCCAGTGGTTCCATGGGGTGGAGGGAAGGTGGGAAGTGAAGAGCTGGGTGCTCCGCTCGTGCTCAAACTGTACCACCCCACCGCCAGATTCTGCATAAGATTGACAAGGAGGGAGAGCGTCTGCCGAGGCCGGAGGACTGCCCCCAGGATGTCTACAACGTCATGGTGCAGTGCTGGGCCCACAAGCCAGAGGACAGGCCCACCTTTGTGGCCCTGCGGGACTTCCTGCTGGAGGTGAGGGCCCGGCCGCGCCCCGGGGCTGGGGTATCTAGGCAGGGGTCAGTCCCAGGCGGGGCAGTGACCTGTCTCTGCCCCCAGGCCCAGCCCACGGACATGCGGGCCCTTCAGGACTTTGAGGAACCAGACAAGCTGCACATCCAGATGAACGACGTCATCACCGTCATCGAGGGAAGGTAGGGAGCGCGGGGCCACGCCTGCACTGCCTTGAAGGGTGCAGGGTGGGGATGGAGGGGCCTGCTGGCTGAGCACTCTTCTGCCTCCAGGGTTCCCATGACGTCGCAGGCCGTGCAGTAAGGGGAGGACGGGCCTGGCTTCACTCTTGAGCGCCTGGGGTTAAGTACCAGATGCCGCTGCTCCAAGGGAATTTCCCTGCCCAGCACCACCTCCTTTACCCTCTTCCCACTCGGCTCCGGCCCTGGCTGTGTGGGTCAGAGCCAAGCTGCCCTATGGTGAGGCATAGGAAGTGGCTCAGCTTGCCCTCAGGGCCACAACTAGGGACTCTGGAGCTCCTGAACATTCCTCTCATCTTCTCCCCCCTTCCCTTCCCGCCTCCTCCCAGGACAGGGACTCTTGATTGCCCACCTGGTACCTATCAGCAAAAGTACCCCAAAGCAACCCACCATCTTCCAGGCAGCCTCTGTCCTCCCACTGAGCCCCACTGCCCCCTCGGGGACTCCCCTCCGTTCTCTGCTGGGCTGCCCACCTGGGCTCCTTTGCCCCCAGTCCCCCTCCCAGGGCTCTCTGTTCCTGACCCCTCCCCCTGCCAGACACCTGGGATGCTTGTCTCTGCCTCCAGGCCCTGAGTCATGTCTCCTTCCTGCAGCCCCTGTTGAAGCCCTTCTGCCCAGGAGGCCCTACCCACCACTCACCCCACCCTCTGTTATCTGATCCCCAGGGCGGCTGAGAAACTGGTTGGGGCAGGGCAGGCTTGAGGTGCCTTTGGGGTAGGGGGTGAGCATGGAGGACCAGGAAGAGGAGCAAGGCAGAGGAAATCCCCTGTGCTCCCAGCTTCTGTGACTCAGAGCCAGGCAGGGATGGGGGCAGGGGTCGCTTCCCACAGAGCCCTTTCTATCCGGGCCTCAGGTTTGGGGGTCTGGGGCTTTTAGTTAAATCCTGTGCCTCATGAGGGTTGGTAAGAGAGGAGAGCTCTAGGTTGAGTCAGAGTGATGGAGTAGGCCTTGGAGCCCAGGGTGGTTCTGGAGGAACATGACCTGCCCTCACTGTGGCACCAGCACCTCTTCCCCAGACAAGGGCTCCCCTAGCTTTTGGGCCCAGTATCTGGGACTACAAAGGATGTAGCAATGAGTTGTGGGGGTGGAGGTTTGGGGAGTTAGTGCAGAAAAGCAGAAAGCTTCTAGGAGGAGAGAGGCACAGGCGTCAGGAAGGAAGATAGTGTGTGAGTTTGGGGCTGGGGGCCCGACGGGACTATAGGCATGGCTCTCCGGGGAGCATTCTTGGAAATAGAAAGATTAGGGTCAGGGCCTATCTGGGCGGGGGGGCATGGCAGGGCCTTAAGTCAGAAGTCTGGACCTATACCTATTCCCACCCCCAGGAGCCCGAGGACCTTGGACCTGACCCTTCTTGTGCACCATAGCCCTCAGGTCTTTATTTCCCCCCATCCCTTGCTGTCAGTGGGGGCCCAGTGTTCCCCAGGGGGTGACTCAGTTGCTGCTTGTGTTCTGGGGTGTGTGTCTCTGGAGCTGGTGCCCTGGGTTACCACCAGAGCTAGGCGGGCAGCAGGTGGGGCCCTGGGGGAGCCACTCCTCTTGGGAGGCACCGTGGCCGTGCCCTGCCCCACCCTTGCGTCCCAGGCCCCCCTGCTGCCTGCCAGTGTGGGCTCGCTGGGCTCCTCCTCCAGGGCCAAGGCCGACTTGGACCACAGTGCCTGTTCGTGGTTCCTGGAGCTGCTCAGGAGGTGGGAGGTGAGGGGCAGGAGGCCACAACAGCCGGTGAGGCTTTGGGGGCGGGCCTGTCTGGGGGCTCTGCCCTGCCCCCTTGTTTTCTCGGTGCCCAAATGTCTCTTGTGTTTGTTTGGCTGACTGTCTCCATGTCTCCGGGTGGAGGGGCTCTCTGTTCACCTGTGTCTTTTGGGTTCTGGGCTTGTATGTGTGGGTCTCTGCTTCCCTGTCTCTTAGCCTGGCTCTCTGCTCTATGTCTGCTCCTCCGTCAACCGTGGATTCCCCTTGTGGAAGCGGTGCCGGTGTTCGTTTCCAGGTCGAGCCTGGGATCCCCTCGTTCCCTGGCTCCATGCTTCTCGGGGTGCCAGGCAGTGGGCAGAGAGAGGACACCCAGATGTTCTGTCGAGCTTGTGAGGTGCTGTCGAGATGGAGGGACAAATGACGAATGGGTCTTTTGCGGGGGGGCCTTGCTTGAAAGCTGGGATGGCCGGCAGCACTTTCATGTTCCAATTTTATAGAACCAGAGAAGGGAGACAGGTTTTGAAATCCATCTTGGGGCCTTGGCCTGGCCTGGTCCCCGGAGCCTCTGCTTCCAGTGGCAGGTAGGGGAGGGGGAAGCAGGGACCCGGGTTGTCCCTCGAAACCAGGGCTGCCTGGGTTGCTCAGAGAGAAGTGAGTGGGGCCGTGTTTTGAGCGGAATGTTTAAGCAACATTTATCAGCCGTTTCTGAACTGGACTTACCTTGGGCCAGGACTGGGACGGGGGGCTGCGATTTCCAGAAGCTGGTCCCAAATAGAGCAGGGGCAGCCTTAGGCAATTCTCAGCTCAGGCCTTGGTTTTTCCCAAGTGCCACTCCACTCCTTGCCTGTCCCAGGACGCTGACAGGCAGCAGGAAATAGGAAGTTCACGCTGGAGGTGCTGGGCCCTTTTCTCTTCCCGCAGGGACTTCTGCTGTGCCGCAGTGTCTGCCCACGGGGGGCCTCCCTTGCTGTGGAGACTCTGGTCTGTTTGTGGGGGGAGCAGGTGCGGCCAGGGCAGGCCGGGGGGGGGAAGGGTGGCCTCCCTTTCTGAGCCGCTGACACCTGGGTCCCACCAGACCTAAGAGGGTTAGGCGGGCAGCGCAGTAGGGCATCGGCCATCTCAGGAGTTACATCTGAGCCTCGTCGGGAGGACGCTGCTTCTGAGTGTGCTTGGGATGTGACTCCCAAGGATGTCTCTCTCTCTTACACGTGCCCTGCACTCCCACCTCACCTCCCCCGGGAGCACAGTGTTTGTGGGAAATGATATCAGGACTCCCAGCAGGCATGGCGGCTCTTGCCTTGGTCGTCCCTGTAATAAAGAGAGGGGGATTGGCGTCTCTCGCTCTCTGAAGCCGGTCCCGGGGAGCCACTATGTGAGGACTTGGGCTGTGCTGGCAAAAGGAAAGGGGTGGAGGGAGGGAGTGACCTCCTGGCAGTCTGGCTTTGCTCAGGGTCCACAGGGAGGACATGGTCACAGGGCCGACCCGGCCTTGGACATGAGTCCAGTCTCCACTGAACTAGCTCTCTACCTCGGCTGCGTCTCTCACCCAGGTTAATGAGCGCTTCTGAACATGGGTGGAGAGCAGAGTCCAACGTCCAGCCTGGGGTGGGTGTCTGAGAAAGTCCGTGGAGAGGCACGTGGACCCGGGGAGCCAGTGGGTACAGGGGGGAGAGGGAGAGCAGCAGCAAGGTCCCCTGCTTCATGGGAGGACTTCCACCACAACCAGCCCCCAGGGGCTGTGGTGCTGGGGGGCGTTTCTCTTCTCAGAATGGCCCTGCTGTTTTCCGATGGGCTTTGTCCCTTCTTGGGTGTTGTCTTCTCTTCTTCCTTCCTCTCCTGCCCTTGCCAGCCCAGGGCAGGGTGTAATCACAGGGTTGCTGTGTCTGGTGGTGGGCTGGTCAGCGGCCCTGTTTATAGGGAGGCTGGCCTCCCAGCCCTTCCCTGCCCCACCTCTCGGCTTCCCAAGCACTGCTGTACTCGTGGGGTTCGACTTGTGATCTCCAGAACAGGCGGTTTGAGGTGATGCTGCTCCCAGTGGGCCACGTCACCTTTCAGAGGAGGGTCCAGGAGCTCAGCCCCTTGGCCCCTGCGATCTGACTCCAGTTTGGAGGAGACCTTTACGCTCCTGGCTGCACAGATGGGGGTTGACTGGGTATGCACGCATGTCTGCCACAGCGGCATGAGGCTGTCATTCCGTCTGCCTTGGCTCAGATTCTGCCCACGTTGTCAGGTGTGAGTGATCCCAGTGGCAGATGGAAGCCACAGCTTGCCATTCGAGGCGTCCAGGAGGGCCCCCTCCTGCCCCAACCCCCAACCCAGGCCCAGGCTTAGACTGCCCCAGCAGAGGTTTCCTGTCTGAGATCAGAGTGAGGGGCTGGTGGTCCCACAGCCCTGCCTAGAGGTTGTGGAAGGCACTGGAGATACAGAAGGGGTGATGGGATGGCGTGGATTGCTTTGAGTGCTTCCAAATGCACGAGGGGCTGCATGCAGGAGATATAGTGTGGTTGGAGGGCTTGGCTCCAAGTCCAGTGCTGAGGCCGTGATGCTCCTTTGGACCCTGCAGCTCAGAATGCCAGGAAACTGGGCTGAAGAGCAAGGTCCGGTGGCCAGAGGGTGGGGGTCCAGGCCTTGCCAGGAGGAAGGAGGTGAGGCAGCTTTATAGGAAGGGTGCTGGCTTGCCGAGTAACAACTGAATTTGAATCCTGGGTCTGCTACGATCTGTCTGGGAACTGTAGGCAAGTCCTGTCACTTGTTTGAACCTGTTTCCTTATTTGTAAACGGTAGGAAAAGCTGTCTGACCCACCTAGGTATCTTGGGGTAAGGTGTGTGCAAACAGCTGGGTCCTGTACCCAGGGAGTGACCAGTCACGGGGCAGGCGGGCTCATGGCACACCCCCTTGGTCTCAGGGCCGTAGCCCTTGGGCCCCCTTCTGCCAAGGTGGTCACATATTGTGGCTAGAGAGCTTGGTATGGAAAGGGTTCTGCTCCCTGGGGCTCCCCCACCATGCCCTAGCGTTCACCATGTCATCTCTGTTGAGCAGGGCCGAGAATTACTGGTGGCGTGGGCAGAACACGCGGACGCTGTGTGTGGGGCCTTTCCCGCGCAACGTGGTGACCTCCGTGGCTGGCCTGTCGGCCCAGGACATCAGTCAACCCCTGCAGAATAGCTTCATCCACACGGGACATGGCGACAGTGACCCCCGCCACTGCTGGGGTTTCCCCGACAAGATCGACGAGTGAGTGCGATCGGGGTGGGACGGTCACCTGTGGCTCCAGAGTCAGCAGCCCCTCCCTGGGCACACAGGCTCTCGCTGGCTTCCAACGTCCTTGTCACAACAGTGGGGCAGAGGGTCTTTTGCTGCCCAGAAGCTCCCTGCAGGCAGAACTGGGGTTAGGAGCTTCGGAGGATGGAGACACACTTCTGTTTGGTGGAATGCCCCCTCGGCACAGCAGCCTTAGGAAAACGGACTTGGGAACAGCTTCTGGAAGGAGTTCAGCAGGAGAGCTGTCATGCTCCCTGGTGTTTGTGTAGTAGCTTCTCCGCTCGGCTGCTGGAATCCTGGAGACTGAGCCTGCTGGCCCAGCGGTCATGGGAGCTGGTGTTCCCCGAGCCGGGGGTGCAGAGAGAGAGCTCCCTGCGGGGAGACTCCAGAAGGGAGGTTAGGCAGCACCCCCACCTGCCTGCTCACTCTGTACCTGGCAGGGGGGTTCAATCTCCTTTAAGCAAAAGGATGAGGTCACTGGGGGGCATCTGGGGGAGGACACAGCGAAGAATTAGTCACTTCCTGAGTGCCCTGCCCCAGAGAGCCACCTGGCAGCTCCCCTCTCTGCTGGCCCCAGGGGGCTTGCAGGCAGCCCTTTCTCCTCTGACTTCTCCTGACGTTCGATTCTGCCCTGAGAGGCGCCGTGAAGCAGGCCTTCCCCCTTGCCCTCACACACCAGAACGCAAAGCCTTGGGAGAGCAGCTGGTGTCTCTCACCTCCCAAGAGCCAGGCACGGGCCTGAGGGAATTGGGGCGAGGTATGTAGACGCCCTCCAGAAGGAGGCCCGGCGCCCTCTGCCCTGCTCCTGGCGTGCTGTGGCCAGCCCAGCCCCATTCCTCCAGGCTTTAATCAGCCCAGTGACTAAGTCCCAGGGCCTGACAATCAGCACAGGGCTGGAGAGGGTGAATCGGGAGCAGGCCAGGTGGCCCAGCCCCTTTCCACCTGGCAGTGGGGCAAGAGCGTGCCTCCTGCCCACCGTGACAGGGTAGCACGGCCGGGTGCAGCCAAGGAGAGTGCCGGCAGGTGGCTGCAGGCCCGGGTGGGGGGCCCTGGCAGTTGCAGACGGCCAGCTCTGCTCCTGGGGGGTATTCTCGGAGCCCTTTCGGCCCGGGCCTTTCAGCCTGCAGTCAGGACGTCTGCCCTGTCCTCTCTCCGTGACACCTCCCCTGGGTACGGTCTTTGGGGAGCTGCGGAGAGTTGGAAGGCCTATGCTCCTGACCCAGCTCTGTGTGGGGCTCGGATGAGATGATTCCCTGCACGCACTCGGGTTTTTATTCTCTGCCTAGTCCCGGGCCTCTCCTCCTGAGGTTGCCCAGCTGTCATCACTGCACACCCTTCCCCCAGACTGCCCCCCTGACCTGGTTGTCTCCCCCACAGACTGTACCTGGGAAACCCCATGGACCCCCCTGACCTGCTGAGCGTGGAACTGAGCACCTCCCGACCCACCCAGCATCTAGGAAGGGTGAAAAGTAAGAGCCCCGCTCCCCCCGAGTTCGTCAGCTGCCCAGGAAGAGGCACTGTCCTCTCTGGGCGCGCCGAGCCGGCTGCTCTGGCTCAGGGACAGTTGGGTCAGGGCCGCAGGGGGACAGCTGTGCCCCAGCTCCGGCTGGCTGTGGGGTGGAAGATGAGAGGCAGCCGTATCCGCTGAGGTGGGCATCCTCGGCCAGTCCTGTGTTGGCCTGCCCGCCTCAGCTTCCGTCGTCCTCCCCGCCGTGCTCAGATCCTGGCTTTCCTCACTCCCCTAATCCTGCTGTTCTCTCCCGAGCCAAAACCACCCCACGGGCTGCACGCTGGCCAGGGGCCTCATCCATCTCCCGGATCCTGTGCCTGTCGTTCCGGAACACGGTTCCCCCCATCCTGCCGCCCTACTGCTTCCCCTTGCTGTTGGGTTTGTACGTTCACTCACCCCTATTCACTGCCCTCTCTCTGTCTCTCCCCACACTCTGCCCTCCCGTCTGGCTGTCTTCCCTCCCCTGGTCTCTGTCTCTCCCGCTCTCCCCCTTCTACTCTCCGCATGGCCTTTCTTGCAGGGGAGCCTCCACCTCGCCCGCCTCAGCCTGCCATCTTCGCTCAGAGTAAGTGGGGCTGCTCGCGGTGCCTTGGCCCCTGCCCCCGTCCCCTCTCTCCTCTCATTCCTCCTCTCCTTCTGGAAGGTACAGAGCCCTGGTGGGCTGGCTGGGTGGGAGGGGACGCGGGGTGTGTGCTGTGAGCTTTTGCCGCTGACCTGGCCCAGCATGCCTGCCTCTCCCCCGGCCCCCAAAAAGCCTGGGCTTCTGGACCGAGGGTGTGGTCCGGGCACCCACCTCTCCGCCATCACCTGGCCCTGCCCCACTCCCTTTGGGTCCTGCGGAGGCTGTGGCTGGGCCTTCGTGGTGCTTGGCCGGGAGCTCTGTGCTCTCCAAGGACAGCGCCTGCTGCTCCAAGGCCCCCAGCCTGCACTAATGGTGTGCTGTAATGGGGTGGGGGTAAGCGATGACTAACCGGGGCCCAGGAGCCCGGGCTATTTGGGGTCTTGTGTGTCGGGGTGTCGAGCAGCTGTGGGGTGTTGCTTGCTCTAGCTGAGATGGAGGCAGGGGCTTATCAGCCCCTGTGGAGAGCTGACAGTGTCCGGAGCAGGTTCTGTCCTCCTGTTTGAATAGGGTTGGTGTGCATTGAGAATTTTGGCAGCTGGGGGCTAACCTCTGGGGGCAGTGGGCGTGGGGAGTTGGTGGAAGATACTTGCCTTTCTTCCCCTGTCCCCCCTTCCTGACACTGCCTTCCTGTCGGGGTCTTCCTTTCTATCCTAGAGCCAACCTACGACCCCGTGAGTGAGGACCAGGACCCCTTGTCCAGCGACTTCAAGAGGCTGGGCCTCCGGAAACCAGCCCTGACCCGTGGGCTGTGGCTAGCAAAGCCCTCGGCTCGGGTGCCGGGCACCAAGGCGGGTCGTGGCGGTGGGGGCGAGGTCACGCTCATTGACTTTGGCGAGGAGCCCGTCGTGCCCGCCCCACGGCCCTGCGCACCCTCGCTGGCGCAGCTGGCCATGGACGCCTGCTCCTTACTGGACAAGACCCCGCCGCAGAGCCCCACGCGGGCCCTGCCCCGGCCCCTGCACCCCACGCCTGTGGTGGACTGGGATGCGCGCCCGCTGCCCCCGCCTCCTGCCTACGACGATGTGGCCCAGGATGAGGAGGACTTTGAGGTCTGCTCCATCAACAGCACCCTGGTGGGTGCAGGGGTCTGTGCTGGGCCCAGCCAGGGTGAAACCAATTACGCCTTTGTGCCTGAGCAGGCGCAGCTGCTCCCTCCCCTGGAGGACAATCTGTTCCTCCCACCCCAGGGTGGGGGCAAGCCGCCCAGCTCGGCCCAGACCGCAGAGATCTTCCAGGCGCTGCAGCAGGAGTGCATGCGGCAGCTGCAGGTCCCGGTGGGCTCCCTGGGCCCTTCTCCTGGCCCGGCCCCAGCGGGTGAGGACAAGCCCCAGGTGCCCCCCCGCGTGCCCATCCCCCCAAGGCCCACTCGCCCACGTGGCGAGCTGTCTCCGGCCCCCTCAGGGGAGGAGGAGGTAGGGCGGTGGCCTGGACCTGCCTCCCCTCCCCGGGTGCCTCCCCGAGAGCCCCTGTCCCCTCAAGGCTCGAGGACCCCTAGCCCCCTGGTACCACCCGGAAGCTCCCCGCTGCCACCCCGGCTCTCCAGCTCACCGGGGAAGACCATGCCCACCACCCAGAGCTTCGCCTCCGACCCCAAGTATGCCACGCCCCAAGTGATCCAGGCGCCCGGCCCTCGGGCTGGTCCCTGCATCCTACCCATTGTCCGCGACGGCAAGAAGGTCAGCAACACCCACTACTACCTGCTGCCCGAGCGCCCGCCCTACCTGGACCGTTATCAGCGCTTCCTACGTGAGGCCCAGAGCCCTGAAGAGCCGGCCCCCCTGCCTGTGCCCCTGCTGCTGCCCCCACCCAGCACCCCAGCCCCTGCCGCCCCCACGGCCACTGTCCGACCGATGCCCCAGGCCGCCCCAGACCCCAAGGCCAACTTCTCCGCCAACAACAGCAACCCAGGGGTCCGGCCACCAGCCCTGAGGGCCACGGCGCGGCTGCCACAGAGGGGCTGCCCTGGGGATGGGCCAGAGGCTGGACGGCCGGCAGACAAGATCCAGATGGTGAGTACCAGGCCTGGCTGCCGGGCGGAGGGGCAGGGCCCCCAGGGCCCCAGAGGAGCGGGCCCAAGTGGTGCTGACGGGTAGGTGGGCGGGTGTGCCCAGCTGCAGGCCATGGTGCATGGGGTGACCACAGAGGAGTGCCAGGCGGCCCTGCAGAGCCACAGCTGGAGCGTGCAGCGGGCTGCCCAGTATCTGAAGGTACCGCCACCTCCTGCCCGCTCTGGCTTTCAGGGACCCTGAGGACTGGTTCTGCTGCGCTCACCTTCCCTTGCCCCTCCCCGCCAGCCTGCCTCTGGCTCTCCTCTGCCCCCACCCCCGGCTGGTGCCCTTCGGCCCCAGTGTGTCCCATGGCGCCCCCCTCTGCTCCTCAGGTGGAGCAGCTCTTCGGGTTGGGTCTGCGGCCGAGAAGTGAGTGCCACAAAGTGCTGGAGATGTGCGACTGGAACCTGGAGCAAGCTGGCTGCCACCTCCTGGGCTCCTGCGGCCCTGCCCACCACAAGTGAGTGAGCCCCGTGCCCCAAGGAGCTATGTCCCGGAGTACACTGCGCTAGGGGGTAGCCCGGCACCTCGCGGGCCACGCGCGGCCAGGGGACGCGGGGCTCCCCGGTCCGGAAGAGGGCAGAGAGCCCCGATGCCGGGATGCAGACAGCCCTGGGGGGAAACTTTCTCCTAAGTGCATTCAGACTTTTCAGCCCCTTGGTGCAAACGAACTAATGAGTGGGGATATTGTTTACCGTGCCTGTCACCCTCTGATAGTCTGATAAGCAATACTGTTCTCTTTATTATTATTAAAAATAAAAGGCATCCCAGGATGATAAATTCCAAAATTATTGCCGACTTTTCAACTGATTAGCCTAGCCTCAAGAGGCCCTCTTGTGCCTACCCACGTTAGACGCTCCCTACTCTGTTGATAGAGGGGCTCTCTGGTTGTTTCCCATCTTTAGGCGCTGAGATGTCTGGAGAGCCAGAGGGTCTGCCTTGAAGGAATCACTTGAGCCTGTCCATCTGACAAGGGCAGGGAGACACCCCACCCGGGCCTGGAGGACCTGCTGCCACTCGCTGTGCGTAGTGGCCGAGCAAGGCCAAGGCAGCAGGAGACTGGGAGCCCCGCCTTGCCGTCCCTCCCTCACCCAGTGCTGTCCCTGCAGCTTTGGATCAGCCCTTGGTGCCCTCAGCCAAGGGACGGGAAGAAGTCCTGTGAAGGCAGGCCTGGTGGTGGCCCCAGCAGGCCCTGCAGCCGGCCTGCCTCGGACTCCAGCCCCTGGTGTGGGGCCTGTGGCCGGAGCGTGTCCCCAGGCTCTGCCCGCAGGGAAGCCAGGCTTGACCCGTGCAGGGAGGTTGTGTTGGCCGCACAGAAAGGTGGACCAGCACCCAGCAGGCCCTCCCCAGGGGAGGGCCCTTCTCCAGGGATCCCCTGGTGGGCCGTTGGGGTGTCGGAGAGAATGTGACTTGTGACCTCACTGTGGATACGTTTGTTCTGGGACTTGGCTGGTCTTAGGATCTTGTGCCTGGAAATAGCCCTAAGTGGCTCAGGAAGCAGAGCAAGGGTGCCAGATTGTTCTGTGGCAGGGACCAGGGCCCAAGGCCCCAGGGTTGGCGGGAGACCAAGGGGGGCAGCTGCCCTGGAGGGACACCAGAGCTTCCTCTCTGACCCAGCCCCTCCCCTGTGCTGTTCCATGTTTTCCTGCCAGCCCCTACCGCCAAAGTTGCTGCCCCAGCTGTGGCTCCCTGCTTCTTCCAGAGAAATAAAGCTCGTTTCTATTTTATGTTACTTACTTGTGCCTGCCTGTTTCTTTGCCTCTTGGTCAGCAGCCCGAGGCCCCAGGGCTTCCCAGGCCACCATCTGTCCAGGCAGCAGGCCTTGGGGCGCCACCTGTGGGCAGAGGGTGGAAGTGCGGCCAGGGTGACCCTCAGGGCTACCCCCAACCCCTTCAGGGCTGGTAGAGGAGCGGAGTCTCCCCGATACAGTCACGGATTTACAGTGCCCATATTCTTGCTCTCGAGTTCCCAGGAGGCAGGGTGTACTGCAGGAGAGAGCTGGAGCTAAGCCAGAAACATCCGTAACAAGGAAAGCTTCAGTGTGTGCTTTAATTTTGTTTTTCTGAATATTTCATGTGGTTCAAAACTCAGAAGGTATCGAGGCGTCTATAGTGAAGTCTGCCACCCCAGCTGCCCCCTCCCCTGCCCAGAGGCTGCCTTCAGCATCAGAGTCTTGTTTGTTTTTTTCGCTTACAGTATTTTGAAGTTCCTAGCCATTCTTATTTGGGGTTCCTGGTTCTATTTAACCAGGCCCCTTTTGATGGAGGGTCTTTGGGTTGTTTCCAGTCCTTTACAATTACAACCATTCTTGCAATAAATGGCGCATGTGGACTATTTTTCACTTGCAAGTCAGTCTGAAGTCTGTGTTCCCAGGAGTGGAGCTCCACAGTCAAAGAGTATGTGCTCTCATGATGGGCCTTGCTGAACGGCTCTCCACCAGGTCGGGGGGGGCGGGGGGGGGGGGGGGCGGCAGCCACAGACACCAGTGCGGGAGAGCTTTCCGTGTGTTGCGGGGCTTTCCGATTTTTACCGGCGAGGCAGGTCTCCCTAGCTTTAATTTGCATTTCTCCAATGAGTGAATATGCATAAAAAATGATTTGGGCCATTTATATTTCCTCTTCTGTGAGCCACCTATTAATACCCTTGGCCCATTTAAAAAAATGACCAGTCTGTTAGTGGTTCTTAGAAAATGGATCAAGGGAATTAGCCCTTTGAGCTTCACCATGCCTCTGAGCAGGAAGAGAGCTAAATCATGAGAGAGGAAGCTGATGGTTTAGGTTTGTTAAAAACAACACAAAGACCATTTTGGATGGGCTTGGGCGCTGTCTGTGTGTCTGCTGCTCCAAGCTAGCCCTGAGGCCTGGGAGCTCTGGAGTCTTCAGATCTAGAATGTTCTGTGTACCCTGTGTACTAATTCAAGAGTTCATTCAATTATATTTAACTGCAATTAAAAAATATTTATTTTTAAAGATCTTATTAGAGAATGTGTAAATGTGTGAGCACGAGTGGGGGGAGGGAGAGGGAGAAGCAGACTCCCCGCTGAGCAGGGAGCCTGATGGTGGGGGGCAGGGGCTCGATCCCAGGACCCCGGGATCATGAGCTGAGCCAAAGGCAGACGCTCAACTGAATGAGCCACCCAGGCACCCCTAAAAAATATTTGGTCACAATATATCACCAAAGAGAAGAAGGTAATATTAAGTTAATTTTGGGCTTTGCTGTTAGACCTGGATTCCATTCTAGTTGCGCTTGATCTTGGAAAAGTTAAATTTTCCGAGCCTATAAGCTGGGGGACAGTCATCCCTGCTTTTTAGAACAGTTGTGTGGGTTAAATGAGGTTGCACAGATCGAGTATTTTGCTTAGTGCGTGGACCATGACAAGTACCCAATAAACTGAAATCATTATACATTTTATTTTTTCATGTTCCTGCCGTTTCTATCATAGCTTACATTACTCACTGACCACAACTCTGTGCACACTTGTCTTCTCTTCCCATTTCCCTTAATTTCATTGTATTTTTTAAATAGCCTGTTCTTTGGGGCGCCTGGGTGGCTCAGTTCGGCTACAGACTCATTCCTTTTTATAGATCATGGACATTTTTTTAAAGATTTTTCTTTTTAATTTTTTTTTTTTTTTTTTTATTTGACAGAGAGAGACACAGCGAGAGAGGGAACACAAGCAGGGGGAGTGGGAGAGGGAGAAGCAGGCCCCCCGCGGAGCAGGGAGCCTAATGCGGGGCTCGATCCCAGGACCCCCGGATCATGACCTGAGCCGAAGGCAGACGCTTAACGACTGAGCCACCCAGGCACCCTGATCATGGACATTTTCAACTCCATTTCTTAAAATGTTGTTTCTTGGTAAGCGACGGCAGAGCTAGTACATTTCAGGAAGACACTTCGCAAGGGTGACGCCAAAGGATCAGGGGTCCCTCAGAGTATCAGGAAACGCAATGTACTTTTGCCGGACCCCCAGTTCCCTAAGTCCCAGGGATTCCTGCTGTTTTTCTCACTCCAACCAGCCTGCCAACTTTAGCCAGCATCTCCTGGGTTTATTGAAAAGATCTTAAGGGAGGCTTTTGAAAAAGCTGACCAGACTAGTTTGCCAACAAGGAGAATCAGTGAATCAGCAAGGATTCACTAGGTACCTTACTGAGTCAAGTCCTGAAGAGGGAACCCAAGCTGAACAGTCTGCCCAGAGGATGGTGGCATTATAACCGGGTGATAAGTACTCGAAGATCATTATGTGCCAGGTGCCTTGGGAGCAGAGGAGGTGGCTTCCTGGAGTAGGTGACATTGTGATGACTTGTTGGGGAAGAATAGGCATGTGTCAGGAAGGTGAGGGGCATGCCAACATTGCAGCTGGAGGGAGCAGACTGGGTTCAAGTGCCAAAGTTCGGTAAGCCTGGAGGCCATCCTTTTGTTGTGTTCTTGGGATGAGTTGGAGGTAGCTTTTATGCGATCCTGATCCTGATGAGTGAGGCAGGCCTGGATCATGAAGCTGCTGGTGTGGTATCTTGGGTCCTTTTGACTGTAGGCAAAGGGAGAGAGCAGAGGAGAATAAGCAGAGGAATGATGTCGTCAACCTATGTTTTTTGTTTTTGTTTTTAAAGGTTTTATTTGTCAGAGAGAGAGCGCACAAGCAGAGGGAGCTGCAGGCAGAGGGAGAAGCAGACTCCCCGCTGAGCAAGGAGCCTGATGTGGGGCTGGATCCCAGGACCCTGGGATCGTGACCTGACCCGAAGGCAGACGCTGAACTGGCTGAGCCACCCAGGTGCCCCCAACCTGTGTTTTTTTAAGAGAGATAGCTCTGCTTAAAAGTGGCTCACTGCTCCACTTTAACCATGAGTGGAGGAAAGATCTAGTAGATGTGTCTCACCACACACTGGGAACACAAAGGTATTCTTAATTTGGAGCAAATTGATTTTCATGGAAATTTGACCTTGGGGAATGGAAGGACCTCCCTGGAATCCTTGGCTAGAGGGTTCCGAAAGTCCAGGTCAGCGCCAGTGCTGGTCTCGGGTTGTGCTGGTCTAGGGTCAAGTTTTCATCGGGCTGAGTTGAAATGGTAAGAATAAGGAACATACAATGTAGTTTTTCTTAGAATGTATTCAAGTTCAGGGAGTGCCTTTATTCTGAGATTTCTGTCTTCTTACAATGTAAATGTAAATAGTACATTGAAATGACTATTCCTGTGTGATGATGGTAGTGACAGTGGCAGGTGGTTTGCATGCCCTTATGTAGCTATGCTGTGTCAGCACGCTCTCTCCAGCAATTATTATAAGGATCCCTGAAATCCATCTTCAGAAGCACTGGGCACTAGTGCTTTTGGGTTACGCAGCACCACCTATTGGCCAAATGAGACATTGCAGTCAGGCTACATTTCAGATCGCGGAGAGAGAAGATTGTGTAAAGTCATTGCCCAATAAATCCATTAAATCCAAAAGCTGCTGGCCCAGACCCATGGGTGCTTAAGGGGACTCATCCCAGGGGAGCTGGGAGGGGAGGGAACCGGTTCGCCCACCATCTGGAGCCAGATGGGGGCCAGCTAGGGTCTAATGCCGGGGAAAAGGGACTGGGTAGGGGCTCTGAAGACCACCCTTAAATCTAGGAAAGAAACCAGGGGCTGCCTGGGAGGATGCTGCGGGCGAAGGGAGAACATGCAATCACTCACCAGTGACAAGTCCTAGGATGACACCAGCGCCCTTTGGGAAGCGCCAGGCACCACTGATTCTTTTGTTAATGTTTTTATGATTGCCATACATTCTCATTGTTCATCGAACATTCAGAAAAGCACAATGAGAAAATTAAAACTACCCAGAAAGCCTCTTGGAACTTTGATATATTTTCTTCCAGTTTCTTTCCTGTGCACGTACATGTTGTGTGTTACAGTGTTGTGAAATTAAGGTCATCCTGCTTCTACTGTTTTATAACCCCTTTTTACTTTATATTTCATACCACAGGCAGTTTTTTATATCTTGAATTCATTTTCTCAAATGTTATTAAATGTCAAATTTTAAAACACTGCATGGTTTTCATTCTGCTGAAATGAAATGCAGAAATTTTGTTATTTAATACATTGTTTTGTTAACATTTTTATTTTGTAACAAATGATTTTTTTAAAGATTTATTTACTTATTTGAAAGAGAGAGAGAGTGCACTCGTGCTCGGGAGAGCTGGGAGAGGGGAAGAAGGAGAAAATCTGAAGCGGACTCCCCACTGAGCAGGGATCCTGATGTGGGGCTGGATCCCATGACTCTGAGATCACAACCTGAGCCGAAATCAAGAGTCAGTCACTCAACCGACTGAGCCACCCAGGCGCCCCTATTTTGTGACAAATTATTTTACCAGATACTGCTAAATGGCTTTCCAGAAAGCTTTCTCTTCTTTATTAAAACAAACATAGGGGCACCTGGGTGGCTCAGATGGTTAAGCGTCTGCCTTCGGCTCAGGTCATGATCCCAGGGTCCTGGGATCGAGCCCCGCATCGGGCTCCTGGCTCAGCAGGGAGCCTGCTTCTCCCTCTCCCTCTGCATCTCCCCCTGCTCATGCTCTCTCTCTTTCTCTGTATCTCTGTGTCTCAAATGAATAAGTAAAAATCTTAAAAAAAAAATGACAACAAAGCATATATGTTAGTCAAGAGAGGACTCATATTCTGGAGATATGTTTTAAAATATTTTTGAAGTGATCTGTTGAGAATAGTCCGGATGGTTGGAGGAAATGGGCCACGAGTCGATA